GCCGAAACGTAGTCGTCGAAATTGTCGTCGTCCTCGTCTTATTTTTAAAAAGCGGCGACTAATTAAGTGCAATATAGAACGAGCATAATATTTTCTCGGAGCGTCGCGAACGACCATTGTTCGGTCACGGGTCACGATTCGCGCGTAAACAACCGTTCTTTTTTAAAAAGCTGCGTTTGTATACACACACACACACACACACACATACTCCTACCTACCTTCCAATGCGTTACCGCGCGCGTGCGTACATTTTTTTTTCAGTTTCCATTGAAAACGTTCCGGAAATGTTAACCGATAATAATATAATAACAATCCTAAATAATGTGCAGTATAATATTCTATAGGTAGGCGTAGGAGGTGTTCGGTTTATACTGACGATATACTGGATWGATATTTTGTCGATCATCAATGTGTAGTAGTTTATGTTTAGGAGGTTTTGCTGATCTCCTCAGCAGTTTTTTCTCTCTGCTATCGATGTGACACACACCACGAGCACGCATACATATGTTTATACAATATGTATTATTAAACACCATAATTTAATGTACACATTCTTCACTAAACGTCCATCTTACGGTCAGATTAAAGCTCACCAGCAACAGCCGCGCGCGTCGGTCTCCGACGATGCTACATTATAGAGCTATGCAGCAGTTGGCCACGCCTCAAATCAGCCACTGCCAATAAATTTGATGGCTTTCTTCCCCGTCGCCGCTACAGCGTATTTCACTTATTTCCTTTATGGCAGTCTCCATTGTGCTTCCGAGCATTTAATGCGTTCCATATAATATTATTCTCGATAAAGTTTAATAGATCGTAAAAGCGGCGACTTTGGCATTAGCGATCTGTCGCCAGGCCAAAAAAGAGTTATGACAACATATTATTATAATATACCAAATGGCGCTATTTTTTTCCGACTAAAAATATATAACTAAAGACTGGCGAAGAATCGTACCGGATCGCTATGCGCAGTGTTTGTACGATATCGCCGGGCGGCGGCGGCGGACTTGAATAATAATCATAACAATAACAACAATACAGGATGGCTGCGAGAAAACAATAGCGAAATGAAGCCAATCTGGTTTTCATTGTTTGATTTTTATACTACCGAACGTAGTTGGTGGGGTGGGGCGCGGAAGAGAGGGTAAGGTGGCAGCAGCACCACTGATGGCGGTCGTCGTCGGACCGGCTCGTCCCGGTCGGGCCACAAACCCCGTTACACTCGGTATAACACCGCGTCTACACCGCGCGTCAGTATTGCACCGTAAGCACCCGGGCCACGACGGAATTTCCATATTGTCAATGCCACTGACGACGAAACGCGTCGTGACTACCGTATTCCGCCGTACGGACTTTAAAACAGGTCGCGATGATCGCGGGACGACGCGGGATTTTTCGCGCGCATGCACGGCCACCGCACCGCACCGGTGTACAGTCGTGCACGCACTCATTTCGACCTGCCGCTGTTTTGAGTCTTGTACGAAACTGTATATTATAGTATAATAATATTATACGGTTGTAGTGTTGGTAGTAGTATATGGCGCACTGACTGACTGCCGCTGCGGAACAATTTCGTTTTGTTCTTTTCGAAACACGCCGAGGACGGAGAAACGAACCGTGGCCGGATCTCCGGTCGTTTGAACACAGTGGCATCGTCATAGCCGCCATCGGGTTTCCAACACGGCCAGGGTCACCGGCATGACCTTGCTACGCGCGCAGCCCAACTCCCACGCGCTCTTTCACGTCGTTTTGTTTCTCTCATTATATTATAATATTGTCTATACCTATTTAATGATATATAAATATATAATATGTGTATATATACATATATACACGTACTGAAATTTTTGTACACCACGTGGAGCGTATAACAATATAATAATATTGTGATATGCATTTGTTAAAATAAAATATATTTTATTTTGTTTCCCGAGTAGTCACCGTCATAGTTTTCACTTCTCGATCGAAAAACGCGACTAATGACTTTTCTAAACGACAGGTTTATATATATTTTTTTTCTTTCTATTCTTCTTCACGCCGCCGAATCGTGTCGCATTTATTCCCGGCCAGTGGCGTCGAATTTGTCACCGTTCGAGTGGAAACAACGATTGCATAGGAGATAGCCACGGCAGGTCGTCGGCTTCGCCGCTTCGTCAATTGCAAAAATATCGAGCGAGAGAGTTGATCTCAAAACTCACGTAAACGCGTATGGTACGTCTGTCCACCGACCGCTCGACGAGATATCGACCTTCGACGACGACGGGTCTACTCCGCGTGTCCACCAAACCAGTAGAACGCTCGTTATCGTCGGGTGTTGGGTTACCGCACCAACCGTGGTCATGTGCCTGCAGATAATCACGTGTGACGCACTATAGGGACGTATCATATATGACGTTCAGCTGAGTGTTATTGAGTCAACTATACCGTCCGCCTATCACAAATTTAAGTTCCGAATCTTTTGTCGAGCAGTTCCGTAACATTGGTAACTCATAAGCGCCGACAAGGCAGATTTTTATTTAATTTTTCCGTGATGTTTAATTGGTTATACGACACACACACACTCATACTACCACGCACACACGCCACTTGAAACAATGGTCCGTTTAACGGTGCATATTATGCTGCACTGCTCAAAACGCATAGCTGTCCGTCTTTCTCTCACTCTTGTAAATTACATTACGTATTTTTCATTTCCTCTCTCACCGGGATCGAGATGGTCTGCACGCGCGTGCACACACACACACAACACCTTCACATCTTTCTGGCCGCCCCACCACGGTAATGATGATACGATTAAACTACAACGACGACAACAACGACAACGACGTAGTCAGACAGCACAAAGCCCGTCACGCGTGACCCGCGCGCACTTGGGCTAGATAGCTGCTCTTTGTCTCTCCGGTTGGTTACAAATATTATGGCTTCGACGACGGTTTGTATGGGTACGTTTACGTATAATACAAGCGACGAGAGGTCGGGCAACGGTGATAATAATTATATTTTTATCGTCATCGGATAATAATTATTATTATTTTTCGTGTAAACAGCTTACCACTTCAAACGCTTAATATCATAGTGGTGTGGTATATATATATATATATTTTATTGGAGACGGGACATGACCGGAAAAAGCCTATACCGATCTTGAGTTGGTCCACCGTCGTACACATTTGTACAGCAAATAGATCATTATCGTTTGACGTATTTTATATCATACACGTTATGATCGTTCGAAACGAGCGTATACAACGTCCGAGTACGGTATCTAATATACGTGTACCTTGCTTTCAGAGGATTACAGCTATATATCATTATTTATCATATCGACCGAATGAATAAAATATTGTTCGAGTTGCATTGTTCGCAGTGAAAAACTCGCGGTCTTTTCATGTAGGTATAGATAATAATATGTGTGCGTATATTATATATGAATATTATATAGGTACCGTGAGCTCGTCATTGTATCTATATAGTCGTCTCCAAAAGTCACATGGTTCATTATTCATTGGCGAGTTTGTATAGCTGTGCCGTACTATATAATATAGTGGGTGGACAGCGCGGGCGTGCATAGTGTTTTAGGATAATATATATATTTTTTTTTATTATTATTACTATTATTTTGTATGCATTTATATATTTATCAGTGGTTCTCAGTGGCACAATAGCGTCTATTCATATACATGTAGGAGCGTTTGACCCCGGCAATGGTAATTATTAATTGCTCGTTATGCGCCACATTTGAATATGAATGCCTCGTGTAAACGGAGAACTCGTGACCGTATACAATTCAAAGAGAGAAATTATGTGGAGCGATGTACACGAAGAGTATCATACAGGTACTGTACAGTGTACATGTAATGTTTGTATAAAAAAAAATATTTCGGAGACCATTATGTATACGCGTAAACCATTTGTGTATAATATGTATATTGTATATTATGCGCGTATGTATGTGTCAGGCAAACTGTTTTTTAATAGATAAAGTCATCTCGTCGTAATATTCTTTAGCTGCCTCTATCTTCCTCTTTCCCCCTAGTCTACATTACCAACGTAAATGTCTTACTGATGGTAATATTAAGCTAACGGTATACGTTCAAGGTTTAGGGTGAAGTATATGTTTTTATAATTATCGTTGTTAGTAATATTTTTTTCTGAACGATAGGTATTTACATCTTAAATCTCTATAGGTGACATTGATATTTTGTATTGTATTATTACTTATTAATACATCTCTGTAAGGATATTGCTCCATCAAAAATATATTCTATTTCAATAAACCTATTGATATTTTATAATAATAGTACGGAAATTAAAATTAATTAATGTCATGTTTAAAAAAAAAAAAAACCTTCATTTTTATTTTATCTATTTAAAAACTACTTATTGTAAATGTTTTTACATTATTATATGTTTACTAATCATTAATTTATCACGAGTATCTATCCATATTAATTATTAGGCACTCGAAAATAATTTAAAGCTGACGACTGCTGTATAGATTCATTTGAGAGCAAGCAAACTTTGAAAGCATATTTAAAATGTATATACTTTTTAATCCTAATATTATAAATATTTCAATATCACCATATTACCACGAATAAAAACAAATTTATGTTTTCACTTTATTAGTAGGTAATTATCATAAAAGTTAAATAATAGTCACATAATAGTTGGCACATACATAATTTATGCAACTTTTGATTCATTTTATTCCACAAAGAAAATATAGAAATCACCTAATCACGTGTTATGATTGATTAGTTAAACTGGTTTTGTAACGCTTCCATAGACATTAGACACCATAACATGGATCCAACATTATTATATACGGTACCAAGCATAAATACATATTGGAAATCGGATTCGATCAAATTTCGTATAGGTTTACTTACTACTTAGTAGTTATTTTATATTATGTATTAAAAAATATATATTTTGAGGATTTATGAATTATGCGATTGACTATGTCTACAATTCGGTATCGAGTAAAATAAAACACTTACGTCTCACTGCCGTTTATCTGTATCCGTTCCGAGGAGTTTGTAATAGTGTGTCTGAAATTTTCATCACCGATGAGGAAACGAATATAGTTTTAGTCTGGAAATAAAATACACACACATTTATATTAAATGCGTGTACCGTCAACGGAAGCAGCAGCAACACGTCGTAACTATAATTGCGTATAAAACCCGACAGGTTTAGAAACGGGATATGACATTATAAAGCTTATTATATATATATATATGCGTACGTGTACGTGTATTTATATTATATGTGTGTGTAAGTTTATGATTTATCCCGTAAAAGAGGAACCCCCACACACCAACAACATGCCGCAAACATTGTGTTTTTGAACCCTTTGAATTCCTCCGCCTACTGATGAAGTTTCATAATATTTTATGATGCCTCTTTTTTTTTTTTTTTTAGATTGTAATAAAGGGACAATATTATACACATGGAAAAATTAACATGCACATTTTGAATATCATTGCGCATACATGCTACAAACGTTTCACATATTATAGTATATAATATACAATTTAAATATTAAACCAAATAATTCATAATTTTTAAAAAGTATTTTTGTGTGCACCCTGAAAATTACCTATAAATTATATAAATTATAATATGGTAACTAAAAGAAAAAAATGTGTTTTTACGGTTATGATAAATATCAGATATAAATACACATTTATGTAATTTCCAATTACTAAAGTATAACTTATAATAAATGACTTTCGTATATTAATTATTAAGAACAAGTTATTAAAACGAATTATCCAGTTTAAATATTGAAAATATCTGAAGTGTGGTGTATCACGGGTGTTACATAGAAACGTGTGCGTGCGCATACACCACACACACACATACACACACGCACACGCACACTTAATGTTATATATAATAGTCTTTTGAGTCGTTTAATTTTTTTTCCCAACCACGCAGACACGACGCGCCGCGAAATTATTGCCGTCGATTATCGGCGAGTGGGCTCCATTTGTGGCGTTATGATGGATTACGTGAATAGACGTCGGTCGTTTGTCGTATAGACGGAAAAAAATATTATTTATTCACGAGACACACACGCGCGCTCTAGCACTCACGAATATAACGTATAGATCTTCATCTGCGTTTATTATAATAATCGTACGGAGGAATATAAAATGAACTCGAGACGAACGTCATCATCACCGCCATTGCCAGACGTATACCGCTCGTGTAATATTATTGTGCATACTTAAATTATATATTTTTTTAAACTAAACGGCAGACACAATCGATCGTCGCATATTAATAACGTCTCGAAATCACTATCGTCGATAGCTTGCCAGGGGTCAATAATTATTACACATTATACAGGTACTATTCGAATCCATATGAGACTAATGATGGCGACGACGAAGATGATATAATAATACTGCGCGTGAGTACATCGCCTCGTGTACATACAAATAATAATAAAACATTTATAAATCATGCTACGAGAATATTTTATATTTAACAACAAGTTGGACGTTTTTTCCGATTTTGATATATATATATAGCGCTTGGGATAACTGTTCAATAATAGTCGTACACGTCGTAATAGGCGTAGGGTACATGTAAAACGAGACCGCCGACAAAGAGTGAACAGAATTGCTGACATTTGGCATTGACTATGTCTTCCGCCGTTACAGAACGGACTCAAAGTCGGCGGAATTGCAGTCGGTTCGTATGCTAGGTCTGCGTTCGTGTCGTGTTGTGGAAGCGGTTTAAAGACCACAACTGCTGAAAATAAATATGGTCAGGATACCAGCTAGATGATGGGCTTTGATTATTATCGTATATGCGTACCGATTGTCTTTTTCACATCAACAACTCACGTTGATTAGTAAAAATAGTTAACAATAGTAGTATTACTACTGTTACTGTCCACTATTATTTCCACAACTACTTTTTCTACCAATCGTAATTAAAAAAAAACTTACTTGCAAAGTATATTATATAGATCCAAATAGTACAATATTCCGCATAATTTCAACTCTATACGYGTCTGCATTGTATCTGTACATCGAGTACATGATATGACTGCCAATAACTGAAAAACGATATGATGCGATGTTATATTATAATATAGGATAAGTTAAATTGCAGGTATAAAATTTTTTAATATAATTTAGGTATACTTCAATAATATAAAAATGAAATATTATATCAATATTTTTCAAAAAATATCAGTTAAGCAAATATTATGTATGAATATTTTAACACGGCACTGTCATAATTATTATGAATATAACATTGCTAATAATAAATAAGTGTATATTATATAATATACATAATATTATATTGACAATTACATTTGAATCATGGATCAATAAAAGTCATCATGAAAATATAGCCTTGTTAGCATCTGGATTTTCAAACGGTATATTTTGTTGATAAATTGTTTGAAAAAATTAAGTTTATTGAACTAAGCTGGGTCGTAAATTTTTTTGAATGAGCCTAAAAAATATACAGTTTTATTTTTAACTTCAAAAATATATTATTGGTACACGTGTCATCATAAATAATATTTCAAATTTGTATTCTTAATATAATTGTTTTTGAAGTAAAGTAGGTCAAAAATGTAAGACATAATATTTTGTTCATAAATACAAAAAAAATAACAAATGTTTTCGACCTTACTAATTTAACTTAAAAACAGTACCTTGTCATAGTGTTTAGTTGATRTACATATAATACAATGTACACGTAACAATTAGCCCGAATACATTATCAATAAAAACTCAAATATATTTAGTAAGGTTATTATTTAATCCAAATATATTATAACATTCGATGTAGATAAATAGATAGACAAAAATAATTTATCAATTGAAATAAACTGTAAGATAGTTTTTAGTTAATCTAGTCCAAAATTTGAAGAAAACAAATATGTTACTTAGTATAACTATGGCCAAAATTTTATTATTGACGTATTTTTTCTTTATAGCCAAACATTTTTTTTTTCATAAGTACACCTTATAAAAATGTACCTACGATAAATTAAGTCTTATCCCTGTTCAATATATAATATTTTTTATTATATAAACGCACAATAATAATATGTGTGCATTATAGACATATCAGGCGCCACGTTAATGACACATGGCCATATAAAGTATTTTTTCACATCATCTTCGTTTCAATGATCAGCCATTGTCAAGTGGTTTCTAGCGGTAATTACTGTTTGAGTGACACAGTCGAGTTCATCGGGCTGGCTGCAGGGAGAGATGATGGTGTCATATAGACGATAAATATTATAACAAGTCCGATGGTTGCGTCGGCTGTCTATTCGCATATACGATATTCAACCGCTAACAGGTAACATGAGAATCGAAAACCAAGTACCTGCATGTCAATATCGGTGGTGTTTAAATAATATACTAGCAATGATCTAATGAAACCTAATGAATCCATAGTATCAGGTTATCGGAGATTTGAATGTTACTCGAATGKAAATAAAGAAGGAGGAAAAGATCAATCTGCATCGACAGTGCATATACGGGTACAAAAACGCACACGAGACACACTTATTTGCCGTACTTTCGATTGCTATATAGCTAGTCCACCGCCACCGTCCTAACAAGTCGGTGGTTAACGCACAAGAGAGATACTACACAGAATCTAACTGACACTTTGTACGTTCATAAATATTGCACACGGAAAACGATTGCTCTTCGCGAGTCCTCGTAAATAAAACCAGTTCGAGATCCTTTGTGACGTCTAACCATATAATATATATACATAAAAAAAAAAAATAATAATAATAAATAACATCGACCGAGAGCAATAAAGAGGGAAAAACAGTAACGATTTTCTCTTGATCTTCAATAGACGACGACGCTGCTGAAAGCTATGCACCGACAACGTTTTAATTGTAATAATGGGTACTTGGTGCGATAAAGACTTTTTATTACATTAAAAACATGTCGAGTAGTCGAACAAAAACTCGAGGTGAAGTACTTAAGTGTTTGAACAATTATAATGAGTAACAATAAAGATTAGAAATGAGCGAGTAAAATATAACGTCATTGCATGTATAGTGTATACAAATACTGAAATAGTGAAATACTAACATTACGTACTATACTTATGAAAATATATGGTTATTATAAGAACTTAGTTTATATTTTAAATTTTTGGAAATTTTTTCGTACGTGTATTATATTCAGAATTGTAGATCGATGAATTATATGTATCAAATTCATGTTACACTTTGAATTTGCACACTGTCAAGTAATATGTATAAATAATAATATTAGGTATTCGTATTCATTAGAATTTGTCTACGATTTTATTGTTTACTATTAATAAAAATCGTATGTATATTTGAATTGATATTCATGACGTAAACTCATTTCGCATTTCTCATGGTAAAATTTGATATTAGAAAATAATATACTATGATTAGTACGGCTATAGTATAATAATATTATGTCTTTAAGAGATCAGACGTCATCATACTTTTTGTTTTGATGTTCATTATAATGAGAACGCATACAAACGAATCAAACGATGGTGAGGTCATTTCAATAGAATCAATCCGAAGAAAAACTATCAGCCTCGACGAAACGGCATATTATATTATTATACTCAACACAAGCCATTAAATTACGGAGAATTTATTTCGATCCCCTTTGCTGCTATATCGATGTACATGTATACGTGTTTTTTTTTTTTGAATAACTTAACGTTTTATTATTTATTTGTGCAGATGAAGGGGTGTTGGTGAGCATATAAGGGTCATCTCGTTGGTTAGTTCCCACAGGACCCTTTCTAAGTAATATTTGTCACCGATTGGCGGTTAGAAAATAAAATAATAGTAAGTATATTGGAAAAAAGAACAGATAAATCGCATAAAACATTTCAAATATATATATATTTAAATGTTTAGGTATATAATATGATGTATTTTATTTATAAACACGATTGTGCCGCTGGACCGGAGAACTTCGGGCTCGCATCGTTGGCTTGAGTTTAAAAATAAATTTTAACCGTAATATTATATATCAGCAGTTCAGGAATATTGCGGGACAGCTGTAAATTATAAATAATCATTTCCTCTAGTGTATTTTCCTTGGCTAGGTGTATCGGCAAATATCGGCTGTGTCCGCGCACCGAGGCGGTGAGCAATTTTAAATTTAGCCTTAAAGTGTTAAGTGATCGCTTTGTTTTATGGATTGGATTATCATAAATAAAAGTTTTATCGGCACTGGGCTCAAGTTCAATAAACACGATTAATCTTTGATTCAAAAGTTGTATTTTTTAGCACCTAACAATTTGTTACATCATTATTATAATATTCTTTTGTACGGGAATAAGTAGATCTGAATTTAATTTTTTTTTAATTAGTTAATTAATTTGAAATGAAATATCAGTATGAATGGTAAATAGGTGTATAGAATACTCTCAAATTGTTGCGATGATACATTGCAAAAATAATTTTTATTATTGTTCAGAATACACTTAAAAACAGACGCCGTTTTTAAATGTAGGTATACTTAGGTATCAAAATACCAACAAAATTACCATTACCATAATAATTACCATTTACATTTTTACCAGTATAGATGTAAAGTCGTTAATAAAACTGCGAACTGGATAAATTATCGTTTGTCAAGTATAGTTTTACTAATTTGAAAAAAAGTTAAGTGATAAACTTTCTCTAATTCACTAAAAAATAAGAATAAATATTTTAATAAAAAATATTAATAACTACACTTTAAAAAAAATAAGGTTATCATTGTAAAATTAAAAAAATATAATTTATTGAAGTTTTTTACAAGAATAACAATAGTAAAATTAAAAATATAAAACCATTCGTATTGAAACATTAAAATGGATTTATAATAGAGAATAATATACAATAACACTTTTTAGTCGCAGCTCAAAATTCGTATTACATAAATTTATCAAAGTAGAACTTTTAAATTGTATCCTATAGATTTTTTTCTTCATTACATAATATTATGTTATGTTTGTAACAAGATTGTTTACTTGCATACACGTTTTGGTATGCTACGTGTTCAATTGAAAAGACAGGATGATTATAAAAGGTCGTGATATTGTTGAAACAAAAGCGATGGTAAAAAATGATAGGGCAAGGAAAACAAATTTACTACCGCTAAAAGGTCGAATGACGTTGCTAAAAGCTTTTGCGAAAGATGTATACACAAACCAAATTACATTTTCTTCTGGCCTGTTTACTCCCTTGAAATGTCACCATCGGAAAAATGGTTATGTTTTAATTTCCAGTAGATACTTGAACAATGGAATTACGTGCATTGTTAATTTAAAATTGTAGGAACCACTACCCAGCTTAAAATTTACAATCAGCAAGTGTACACTGCCTAATCAAAAAATAAAGTATTGTTATTTTGTAAAAAAAAAAAAAAACAAAACAACAAAATAGTACTCCTAGGAATTTATCAACTTATCAACTGAAACACGATTGTAACTGGATTTACATGCATGTAAATTATCAATAGTATTCTATTCACGAATCGGACCTTTCAGCGATATATGGTATGCATATCTAGTAGTTACCAGAATGGTCCCTTCTCTCTTTTGAGAATTTATTCAAATTGCTTGTCGTATATCAAGGGTCTACATCGACGTTTTATCGTAATGGTCTAAAGGGAAACGTCAAAAATAACTTTAGCTTTTATTTGAATTCGACGTGATTTATGATAGATAGTCTTGAAAACATACGCGAACAAAATATATATTTTCCACTAGAATGTAAACATTGATTATTATGAATTATAATATACAGACAGTATATAGTTTAAAGAGTCTATTACAAGGGTACTACTTGTTCATAATAATATTATATATTCAATGATATTTATTTGTACGATACTMAAAGTACACATAAAATAAATAATGTTTTCAACATTTTTAAATGTTTTTATTATACAGTTTAATAAATTATAATTTCTTCAATGTAGATACATACCTATAATTATTAATTTATACATCTTACGTTTTGAACATTTTAATTTATAAGAAGTAGAATGCTAAAATTTGTTTTTTTTATTAAATTTGGTAGTAATAATGTTATCTAGATTAGATAAACACATTTTATAAAAAACACATGCTATCTAATAGAGTGACGAAATATTTTAGTGATTAGTGGTCACTCATCAAAATAACCATAATCCAACGCGCTTTTAAAAACATGCGCCCACATTAATATTATTGCCTATACAACCCGCTATACAGTAACTGCATAATTAAATACAAAATTAATATTTTATTTAAATATTATGCCTAAATAACGTAGAACAAAATATGATAACCATCAACACATAATTATTTATTATTGTAGTATCTGATAATAACTTTACTTCAGGCATTAATGCTAATTTTATATTCCAGACGATCTACGAGATAAAGCTAAATAATATCGTCAAAACAATTTATCATTTACAATCGGTATAATATATTAAATATTAAGACTTGAAATGTTTTAGGAATAACCTACCCTCTGTCACTATAAAATAAAATACGTCAAGACCTTCTAAATTTTATAATAGGTATTTGATAATTGAATAATTTCCATTTTTCAATGCTTTTCTTCATCAACGATTATTGAATTGATAAATCAAAAATTTCATTGCACAATCAACATTAAATAGAATAATATAAGAAAAAAAGAAACATAAAAAAACAGTGAACAGTTCATTTAAATTTTAACAACGAGACTCAAAACATATTATCGTTTAAATAATTTGAATATCTATAACGATTGAATTATAATTTTATTTCAGATAGGTGATAAATTTATATCACCCGAATGCTTGGAATGTAAAGAAGATAATAATTTTAACAAGCCGGGGGGTCCAGGTTTTAATAATAATTAGTAATAATAAGTGATGTCCATGACCCTTTCTAACTTCCAGTAGAACAAATTAAAACATAGTGTGTGATGTGTAGCACGTATTGGTTTTTATGACTTAACGACCCAACATAGTATGGTGGGGAAGCCTTTAGCCGTTAGGAAGACATTAATCCTATGAGTCACATAGCCGAAAGTAAACAAAAACTTATATTTTGTAAAATATAAGCTATATTCAAGAAACGATCTAAATTACGCGCTTCAATAGAAAAAAAATGAAGAGTATAAATGATCGAAAACGTATATACGCACTCATAAACTCAGTACACTGCTACCACTCACACATAATATGTGAGATGATAAAATGATGTAAATGTTTAAAAAATGTATTCATAAATAATGGTCATGTTAACTTTAAACAAGTAATGAAAAATACATTTACAAGGGTATTGATAGTTCGACGGAAGCGTTTGTTGATACTAAATAAACAATACAAAAAAGAATACCTAGTGCGAAAATAATAATTAMAAATTGTTTCAGTGACGGAAAAAAGTAGTGTCTGATATTTTTTTCTAAAGCTTCAGAAATGTAAATATTTAAACTGAACTGGCTATTATGCAGCGTGGACAATGTTGGTTCATTAGATATACATAAATATATCCCAAAAATGTATAATTTAATATTTAATAAGAAGTAATATTTAATATTATATCTATATTATGAAACCATAAAAAACGGTTCGTAAGGTAAATACCTAATAAAGTTAAACTTTTTTCATATCATATTTTAGTACATACTGAAAAACAAATGTACGGATTTAATTTATTGATGTTACATATTTAATTATTATAGGTACGGTACACATTTAAGATATCTATATTTTTTTCAATTTAAAAATATTTCAATTCTTTTAAATAACCCTTATGGCTCATTCCTATTTCCATTTACAATCTGATTAAGTAAAAAAAAAAAAAAAAATCAATATTGTATAAGTAATAACCAGTGCTATAAAAATAAACTGTGCATGCATGTTCTTAATTTTTCAGGGACTTAGTTTCAAAAAAAAATCTATATGTATGTATTCCATACATATGTACATACATATCCTCCCTAAAAACGCTTATTCGGTCGAAACCCTTCTAAATCGGACAGCTGCCATGGTAAAATCTCTCCCCATCGCGTGTTATTAAAAAGTAGTATAGTACGTCATATTTTTTATTATATTATTATTTCATTGTATATACACACATTTTTATTTTTTTATTCACGATATATGAAAACACATTTTCGATATGAAGTAGAGATAAAAACAATGTGCAAGTTATTTTTTAATATACAGTTTTTTTTTTTTTAAACAAATGTTCGTTAATGCATTTAATAATGAACAATAGTTGTTAATGAATTACACATAAATAGTCAAAAAAATGTAGAATTAATCGAGTTTCGTGTATTTTATATAGCATGACAAGAACCAGTTGATAATATTTAATAAGAATACAAAAATTATTATAATATAATATAATAAATAAACAGTATTTAATTTTTTAATTTATCACACGTGCTATATAGATGATCAAAATATGCTAAAAGGGTACGCTTGAAGTGTATGACAATTTACAATAGAATAATAAGGGAAAATGAGAATAAAAAGTTTCTAAAAGTAAAGTAAGTTAATATATAATGTTAACTACATTTATTATGTAATGATCATCGAATAAATGTCATTTAATATAAGTAATGCGGCATAATTATACATATACCTACGTGAATACTGTTGTTAGTTGAAAATATTTTACAGTAAAATAATGTGTTTTCATTCGATCAAATGAATAAAAAATAATTATTCTTCACATGGAAACTACATATTTTTAATGTGTTGTACGACGATAAGTTAATTTAAAACTTCATGGTATAAAATAAAATTAAAAATGTATTAATATTACTGCTATCAATCTAAAATTTAAATTCTGTTTCAATATTTCAGTCACTTAATTAATTATGTTACAGGTATAACGGAACATAATTTTTTAAAGATAATTCACATGTATAATTCAATTAAAATGTAAGATAAAGCATCTATGCGTATTGATGTATGTCGACTACCACAATATGTTTATTATTATTATTATTATTATTATTTTTTATTAATATATAGGCTCATTTTACTGTCATGCATGGTTAAAACTCATTTGCCACAATCCATCCCTCCTTTTAATAAACAGCATACAGACAACGTATGTACATAATTAAAAATATAATGATAATAATACAATTCACATAAAAAGGTAAATCTGTCATTAAAAATAAGTACATAKCTAACTCATACCTAATCAAAAAACTTGGCTCGAAAAATATTTGGGTTAAAGATATCAAAAAAATTGCAACAATTTAAAATACGTATAATTTAAGTATTTTTAATGTTTTGAATGAAATAATAAATGAGCCATGTGTAAGTTATAAATTTACAAGTATGGAAAAAATTAAAAATTATAAAAATTATTTTTTATGTTTATCAAAATGATATGTTTTCAATATTGCTTTACAAAGGACATCAATAATTTTAAAATAATACGAAATGGTTTACAATATTGAATATTCAATTTTATTAAAATTTATTTACATTTGTTATATTTATGGAATTTTGTTTAAACTTACTAACTTATTTTCATCCCCTACAATATTTAATTGAAAATTAAAATCATACAATTGCGTTTATTTGTTAAACTAAAAGTACCTATATCTAAGAAAAAAGAAATATTTCTAAAATAACCTGCGGATTACAAATTAAAAAAAGTGATCACTTATCATAAAATATTATAACATTGGAAATTTCATGGACGTACTCACCAATTTCATCGGTTAATCATCGCCGCTGATGCATGCTATGGACAGCTTGAAGATGAATGCTAGCTGTCGAGTGCTGCCGATCGTTCTTAAATGTTGTTGCAGGGACCATAGTAAATAAAATAAAAACAGAAAAATCAAACACAAAATAATATAATTTTGATATCGGCGCGAGAATAACGGTGAAATCGACGGTTTACTCGGGCGACGAACGAAAATAATAATTAAGAAAAACGATTTACGTAAAAATTATATTTTTTTGGCGCGATGAGTAAATACTTTAAGTACTTATAATTTATTATATCGTAAACGGCGACGAAGTACATGATTTATAATATTATAATATCATAACGAAATAAAAACTGAGTGATTCCTAATAATGGAAGTGAAATGAGAGAATTCGATGCAAGAACGTCGGTTGTTGATTGCAGCAGTCGTACGAATGACGGTCGACGGACCGTCGAGCGTTCGCGTCTGGTCGCGGTACAGTTTCGCTCGACCGTAGCGCGCGCGGTGCTGTACCTGCGCGCGCGGCCGCGCCGGCGTGCAGGCCACGGCCGTTTGTCGACAGAGCGCTCCGAGTGGGGCCCGCGCCGACGATGACGACGCTGCCGCCGCGCTACGAGTCCGAGTGTGCGACATGACGGCAGGGGAGAGCCGACCGGCCGGCCGGTCGGATGGTCTGTTCCAGTGTGCCGTGCGCGTTGTCGGCTGACGTCGGTCGTGGTCGGCCTGCTGCCGTTGTCGCCGCGTACCGCGCACACATCAATACACACCCGTGGCCACGTGCGACCACACCCTTCGCGCCCGCAACCCTTTTTTAAAAATAATTATATATATTATTTTCATCCCTCCATCGTGTCACCTCCAACGGGGGATTCAAATAAACGCGTGAAGACTTACGCAGGTATACAATGACGTATTTTAATGTCTAATAAATTTAGGTACCTCTATGTATTTATTACTGTTATGATAAACAAATATTATTTATACCTATATCTATCTCATCCGAGATGCGCGCAACAGACTCTCCCAGCGTTCTAGACGATCGCCGGTTGCCCCAGTATTTTTTTAGTTATACACCACTTAATATTGGACGAATATATATGTATATATATTTTTAATCAAGTTCTGTGTAATCTATAACCAACGGGTTGATGTTATTCGTGAGGTATTTTAAAGGGACTCGTCCATTGAACGGATGTCTACTTATTATGATATTTGTGTAGCCAAGCATCATGGCCATCGACGCGGCAACGCCCGTCGCGCTTGGGCGAAAGAGGTAGTGAATAATGCGTCACGTATATAACGTGGGTATGGTATAATATAATATATTACACGATACGATTTATTGAAAAACATCGATTGTATGGTTAATCGTAACATAATTATATTATATAAATATGAAATACTTATATTTCTGGATAATCGTTTTTTTTCCTTAAATCTATGTCACATAAATAATATTGCATTAGCGTATTATACTATTATCTGTTTATTGAAAATAATATAGACCTATCGATTCAGCCAAATTATATTATACTTGATAACTGCTATTATATATCTGTAAATATTGGCTTGTATTGACAAATATAATATATTATATTACCTATATTGTTATCTATGTGATTTAATTTCTTTGAACTATGCTCAAGGTGTCTTTTATTATAATTCATTATATACTTATTTTCTTTAAAATAATGTCAAGCCGGTATTACATCTTTTTTATATTAATAATATATCTGTTCTACGTATGACTTCAAAAAGACAATATAATTTGAATAACTTTGATGAATTTTATGATTTTATTGTGTGTGTAACCTTAATTATCATATTATGTACCTATGTACTGAGCAGTACTTATATTTTTTTTAAAGAAGAGAATAATAAGAGTATTGAAAAATCTCGAAATGTATTCTAAATGTGATTGTATTTGTTGGTTTTGCATATCTATTTTGTTTCTCACCGAGAAATTTTACATTATGCACACAATTTGTTGTTTCGTTCAGGTAAATACAAAAAAGTCGGTTTGTGTATATATTTTATATATACCTAATATAATATATAAATATTTATATTCATGCATTTTGTTTTAGATGTTTATATATATCATATTATAAAGTTTATTTAAAGCAAACGTAATGACGTATTATAATATATTGATAAATATTCTACATCATGTAAAAACGTATAATTAAATATTATTATAACATTAATATTAGCACATTGCTAAAATGTTTTAATTTATAAACTAAATAAATAATATCTAATTTTTGAATTCGTATATAAGAATTTAAAAAATCGAAGCACTTTTACTGCCCCAAAAAATAAATACATATTTCATTATAAATCGATTAGTGTAAATGCATTTTATTAAATTTAGTACTATTTGATTGACTGAGAACTAGGTCACATAAATTATTAAGTTTATGCAAATTATATTGTTTACATAAAATGCTTGTTTTACTTTAGTAATTTCCTGGTTATTTCTCTACATTAAATGTACTGAGTACATTTACATTATTTTGAATAAACCGAAAAAAGATTATCTTCATAAATATTATATCAACATTATTTGAGAATATATTATTATTCAGAGAACTGTGTAACGGTTACACCACTGACTAAAACAGTTTTTCTAAGGAATACACAATCAATAAATCAAAACATGACATACAGGAAATAAAAGTAGTCAGAGACTTAATTTGACCAAATCTAAATTCTCTGGACTACATTAATAACTCGATATATACGACCATGGATAATAGGGGAGGTCAGGACAAAGATAATGAGACCCTCCATTATGCACGTAACCAGGAAATCCAACAAACCGCATTCGAATTTCAGATTCGTACTGACGGGAAATACAAACAACATGGTGGCACACCCGATAGTTTACTAGCTGGTACGGCACGCGGATTATGTAAAGGTCGTTTCCGGACCGCAAACATCTTCTTTAATCAAAACAATTTCTTCAAYCAAGCGTTCAACACAGTACAAGAATGAAGACAAGAAGAATAGAAGAACCAACAGAGCGAACTGACGCAGATGAGCCGCACTACAAGTTACCAACCGGATGACAGCGACGGTCGGTGACTACAACGCCGACAGGAACGACCATCGACGATATCCGAAGACTCCTCGTATAAATCCATGAGCATCCCATTCGGGCATCTCCTCACTATASGTTTGTACCAGGAAACGACGACGTGGAACCTTCGATAACGTTTATCGAAACGAAACCAGTGGCCAGGAGCTGATCTGACATCACACCGCAAAACTGAGCCAAGTGTTTGGAAACCAGATCGGCGACTTGCGGACGCATCCGATGGAGCACGTAGCTTGAGCAACTGACAGTAGCGGCAACGTATACCAGGCGGATGAGGTGGCATTGCCGATTGACTGTCACGAGGATCCGCGACAATCGACGCTCCCAGTCGCTTTTGAGATCCTGCCTACCCGGGCCTCACTAACGGTAGCAGTCACTWACCTAACCTAGATACTATCCGTGGTTGACTCCATACCTTGGTCTGTGCAACCCACCACGTTCATGAATGTCTTGCTATTGTATATTGGACGAAGTCTTCAATTCGCCGTGAAATTACGCCAAATCCGGCAGCTTGCTCTTAAGCCTAGTTGCTTYATTAGCGTATTTACCATTTCACCCTCAAAAACTGTAAATGAATTATATAAATTTACATGGAAATAAATAGACAAAGTGWTACCATTAAGACCAGAGTTGTCATTATCATCACAACTCTACGAAACAAGCCGAATGGCCACTATTTCAACTGTTAGGTAATTACTAGCTGATCACTGTATAATTAATATACTACAACACA